ATGCCACCTCACTAGTAGTGAGCAGGGAAATGTAGCCCTGACCAACGTGCTCTTCTTTTCTGTCTAAATTTCACAGGCAGAGCAGGAACTAGAGAGCTGATAGCTGGAGTGCTCTTCTCTGCTTGGTGCGGTTGCACTGGCCAGAGTCTTATCAGAGCAGAGTTCAGTGACTCAAGGTTAGCATTGACTGGACCATCTAGGCACTGAATATACCTGCAGAGGAAGTAGAAGTTTGCTGGGACCCCATGTGGGGAAGAGACAGTGGCCCTTCTCTTTTCCACCCTTCCCATTCAGCCCTTTCTCCCAGCAGAGGAGAAGAGAGGATAGCACTGTGCTCCTTCCCATTTTTGAAGGTATCTGCCAATTAGACCTTGGTGCCCAGGTACCAGAGTGATTAGAGATGGCTGTATTCTTCCTTCCGGTAACTTAACACTTGAGGGTGCCGGATGTTTATAAATGTTTATCTGGCCTTATGTAGATAGCAACAAAGCATGCTTTCTACCTCTTCATCCAATATTGTTTTAAGGGGTGCACAACACTTCGTTCTAACATTGCACTCCTGTTTCCCTAAGAGACAATGTCCCACTCAGCTAGGGAAGCCACCTTCATTTTGGAAAAATTTTGAGTGCATTGTAATGTCCTATCCACATCCCTAGCATTTGGGTAACATATAGAGGTGCTGGGGCAACCTAGTTCCATCAGAATAGCTAGGGCACTAGTGCATAGCGATGACTAATTCTGATGGATGTTTTGTGTAGAGCTGGGGGAGAAAAGGAAGCTGTTGCTTGGCAGGGAGGGAGGGAGGATGGCAGGAAGATTGAGGTTGGGTGGATGCTTCTTTTGGTGTCTGAGTAACCTGGTTAATGAAACCTGTGGGTTACCATTTATGTAATGTTTCAGAGGAACAGCCGTGTTAGTCTGTATTCGCAAAAAGAAAAGGAGTACTTGTGGCACCTTAGAGACTAACCAATTTATTTGAGCATGAGCTTTCGTGAGCTACAGCTCACTTCATCAGATGTATACCGTGGAAACTGCAGCAGACTTTATATACACACAGAGAATATGAAACAATACCTCCTCCCACCCCACTGTCCTGCTGGTAATAGCTTATCTAAAGTGATCATCAGGTGGGCCATTTCCAGCACAAATCCAGGTTTTCTCACCCTCCACCCCCCCACACAAATTCACTCTCCTGCTGGTGCTAGCCCATCCAAAGTGACAACTCTTTACATAATTAAGTTGGGCTATTTCCTGCATAGATCCAGGTTTTCTCACCTCCCCCCCCACCCCCATACACACACAAACTCACTCTCCTGCTGGTAATAGCTCATCTAAACTGACCACTCTCCAAATTTAAATCCAAGTTAAACCAGAACATCTGGGGGGGGGGGTAGGAAAAAACAAGAGGAAACAGGCTACCTTGCATAATGACTTAGCCACTCCCAGTCTCTATTTAAGCCTAAATTAATAGTATCCAATTTGCAAATGAATTCCAATTCAGCAGTTTCTCGCTGGAGTCTGGATTTGAAGTTTTTTTGTTTTAAGATAGCGACCTTCATGTCGGTGATTGCGTGACCAGAGAGATTGAAGTGTTCTCCGACTGGTTTATGAATGTTATAATTCTTGACATCTGATTTGTGTCCATTTATTCTTTTACGTAGAGACTGTCCAGTTTGACCAATGTACATGGCAGAGGGGCATTGCTGGCACATGATGGCATATATCACATTGGTGGATGTGCAGGTGAACGAGCCTCTGATAGTGTGGCTGATGTTATTAGGCCCTGTGATGGTGTCCCCTGAATAGATATGTGGGCACAATTGGCAACGGGCTTTGTTGCAAGGATAAGTTCCTGGGTTAGTGGTTCTGTTGTGTGGTATGTGGTTGTTGGTGAGTATTTGCTTCAGGTTGCGGGGCTGTCTGGATTTGTGCTGGAAATGGCCCACTTGATGATCACTTTAGATAAGCTATTACCAGCAGGACAGTGGGGTGGGAGGAGGTATTGTTTCATATTCTCTGTGTGTATATAAAGTCTGCTGCAGTTTCCACGGTATACATCTGATGAAGTGAGCTGTAGCTCACGAAAGCTCATGCTCAAATAAATTGGTTAGTCTCTAAGGTGCCACAAGTACTCCTTTTCATTTATGTAATGTCCCTGCTGATCAGGCAAACGAGCACAAAGGCTGGCAAATCTGCATCTTGAACCTTGGCAGCTATTTGAGAAATCCACAGCCTAGATTAGGGCAAGCATTAAAGCAGAGCAAACGCTAGTTTTGATTCCAGCTGGGATGTTCCTCCATTAGGTTTGGGATTCTAACTCTCTAAAACTAATCATTTGGAAAACCTGTGTCAGAGAGCTGAAGTGTTGCCATGATACCAAGGCTAACATCCAGAGTCTTGGTTTCCCCCTGTCCCCTCCTCTTCCCACCCCTCCCCCCCAAAAAAGTCAGGGGACCTTTAATGACAGTAAGTAGCCAGGACCTCCAGTTTGGTATTGTTTAAAACACATCAGCATCCCTGATGAAGTGCTGTTACCATCTGAGGGGAGAGTGCCCCCTGTGGAATTGCCAACACCATTGTCTGCAGAATCTGTGTCCTATCTACATGCTACCCCAACCCAGTCCTGCTTAACATTTGAGATCTGGCAGGATCACCTCACAGGGTAGCAGAGCTGCAGGCAAAGAAATAGTATGACTAGAAAAAAAGTCTATTTTTGTCAAGTTTAAACACAGATTACTGAATATAAATCACGTTTCTGTATGCACTGATTGTCGTTAGATGTAATCCTATTATGCAAAGTTCATAAACAATTTGAAAAACAAGGGAGCTCATGTAACTGTATTTTTCCAGGGTTGTCCCAAATTTAATTCTTCTTTAAATTTTTGGGATACAAAATAGTCTTGTAAATCCGTATCGTGAATTTGCCTAATCTCTGCCCAGGCTAGCCCTGTGCCCGAGGGTTCTTTGAAAGCTGTCAAGGTACAGCGTGTTTCACAGCAGAGCAGAAGCTGTTGTTGGATATGGAGGGGGAAATGGTCATTTTAAAAACTGGTTTGTAATAGAATAAGTCCAGACTCTATTTGTGACCGGGCCCCATTATGCTGTGTATGTGCAATAGAAACACAAGAGACAGACCATACCCTAGAGGGATTACAATCTGAATTAAAGATAAAAAACAGCAAGTGGATTTAAAAAAAATAAAAAGAGGAACAGGGAAGGGAGGATGAATGTAACAGTAATAGGAACATCCATTTATATAGGCTAGCTGTGTGCATAGTTAGATGGGTTAGAGATTGTCTTGCTTTTTAAAATAAGGTATAGGCATAGATATAAAAAGTCTCCATTGACCATCTACGCAGCCATTATTCGTTGAGTTAACCATATGGTAGAGATTAATTTTGAGGGGAGACTTCCAGGAGGACAGGGTAGTGGTTTGATGGACTAATGTCCTAGCAATACCTTTTTCCTCTAACTTTTAAATGTGTAACCTCTTATAAACTTGATTTTTCATTCTTGTACACTTGCATGGTTTTCACTTTCATAATGGTCTAGTATATCTTTATTGACCTGAGATGGTATTTCCTATGGAATTTGGGCACCTAACTCCTTTTGCCTCTTTCAAAAATACCCTAAAATTTTAGGTTTGGGGGGTGCTGTATAAGAGAGGTGCAGTAATTGACACCAAATGTTAGGATTGGTAGAGAGACACCTCTAGTAGAGTGTGTCAAACCTATCCCAAAATATTTTGGGTTATTATCTTCAATTCTCTATATGTTGGTACATGGGAAGCAGATCTTTATAGATGGAATTTTTAACTGAAATAATATAAATTTTGTCTAAATTTTTGACTAAAAAAAAAAACTCTCTTAGCAAAATTCTATTCTACGCTTTCTGAGAAAAGGATTAATGGAAAGTATTAAGTCAAAGTAACTTCAGTTTAATAAAAGTATTCTATAACTTTTCATTTGGCCTTTTTGATCTAGCAGCTGCACAAATAGTGACAAGGCTTAAAATCTCAGCCTTCAAAACAGGAAACTGACGGTGGTGAATCACTGCAGAAAATGGGGAAAGAGAAGTTAGTGTGGTAGACGAGGTAAAAAATATATATATATATATATATTTTTGGGACCAACTTTTGTTGGTGGAAGGTACAAGCTTTTGAACTATATAGAGTTCTTCAGGTGTGGTGAAGGAAGCAGAGCAGGTGCATCGATTAGTCTACAGGTCCAATGTGGTTGCACCAAAGCAAAAAAGTAACACATTCATTTATTTCTGGGATCTGAGCATGCACATATTAATCCACTGTTGTCCTGTAATCCTGCCAATAGGGCAGCCAGATAAAGAAATAAGGCACCCTTCCACAAGGTAGTTAAACAAGGCGCCTTAACTTTCAGCATTTAAATGATCCCACTGACTTCATGTGCATAGTCTTTGTTGAATCAAGGCCAAAGCTGGGAAAAGCCATTCAGCACCACTTAACTCCATCCCACAGAAGCCTGCCCGTGCCTCAGTGTTAAGCACTTGACGAACTGAATTGTGAAACTTGCGTTTATAGAAAAATGTAATCAAGATTAAAGAAACTAGCTGTGTGTCATTCTCATCCTTTGTTCTTCTTCCTGTGTCTTTTGAGCACTGCATGGATTCTCCCTTAGCATTGCTCTAATTCTTCTAGCAACGTGCTTGGTCTGGGCATCTGGAGGGCAGTATGCCCTCCTGTTAGCAATATCTCTTAAAGTATCTACAGGAGGTAGGGTTATGAGAACCTCTGTGCCATGGGAAGCTGAACATGGCATTTGGTGCTGCAAGAATCTTTTTGGGTGGAGTGGGTTATTTTGAGAACACCACACCCAGGTAATGAATATTGCTTACGTCAATAGATCAGAGTTAAAGGCAGGAGTAAATTCCCAGAATTCAAGCAGAATCTGAGATTATCCATTTGACTTGCTTGACAATCATTTAATGTTCTGAGAAATTACATTGTCAAACATTTTTGACCACAGGTGGTTCCATGTCACAGCTTCAGAACTGTTGGGGAGTATACCAGGATGGTGCAACGCATGTTCTGGATGCCGGTAAAGTCGTGTGTGTTTGTTTGTTTGTTTTTCTTCTTACAGAAGGAATATCTGTCTGTAATGTGATGCCTATTGCTTACTCCTGCAGTATGTCAGGAAAGAGGGAGATCTTTGTGAGTTTCTAAAATAGCTGGGAGTGAATTCTGTAATTTTTGGCTGGGGTTTCTGTAAGACTATAAGGGAGTTCAGCACTTGGGTCCCAATGAATTTCAAGGGAGTTAGGCACCTCAAATCAGTTAAAACTCAACTGATCCAAGGCACCTTTGCAAATCCTAGCCCTGGAATGCACTTTCTTTATGTGTGTGTTTACTCTGAAAAACATCCACTGTGTTAAGGGGTAAAACTTTCAAGAGTGCCTAAACTGCTTGGGCACGCAAATCCAATTTTCAAAAGTGACATAAGATATGTCTACACTTAAAATGTTATAGTGGCACAGCTGCAGCAATTCAGTGTAGATACTTGCTACAGCAACAGAAGGGGTTCTCCCGTCTGTGTAGTTAATCCACCTCGGTAGTTAATCCACCAGCAGTAGCTAAATTGACAGAAGAAGTCATCTGTTGACTTAGTGGTATCTGTATTGGGGGTGATAGTAACTCAGCCAGAGGTTAGAGGTCTATTACAGGAGCGGGTGGGCTAGGTTCTGTGGCCTGTGATGTGCAGGAGGTCAGACTAGATGATCACCATGGTCCCTTCTGGCCTTAAAATCTATGAATCTATGAGATGGAATACCTACACAGACAGAACCCCTAGGTAATATCCTCACTGAAGCGCTACAGCAATGCATCTGTAGCACGTCAAGTATAGACAAGCTCTTAGTCTAAAAAGACTCTCAGAATTTCAGTGGGACTCTAGGTTCTTGAGTGTCTCTGTCACTTTTGAAAATAAGATTGAGGCTCCTAAATCACTTGGGCTATATGTTTAAAGGTAACACCCAATGGGTGTTAGGCATACTTCTGAAAATCCCACGATCTGCCTAAATATCTTTTTAGAAATCTGGCCCTCAGGCACTTTTGAAAATCTTACTCAAGAGCTTGCTTTTCTGTGCATTGATTTTCAAACAGCCTGTACAGAGCAATTTTCCAATCACTTTGTGGATTACCTTTCTATATTAGCTGGAAACATTTGTTCACTTCTTTTAAAGTGCATTTAAATCGAAATTTACAAACTGCTGAGTTTAAAAAAAAAAAAGAAAGAAAGAAAAAAGCAAAGGCCAATAATACTGTACTGAATGCCTTTTTATTGCTCATGTGATTATTGAATCTGGGGCCTTGGTTGTTGATTAATCGCTGCCCGAAGAGAGCATTATACAGGACAATTCCAGTACTCACTGAAAAAGGCTTTCAAAAAGTGGAATAGATATTCTGATCACTTGAAAGGTACAATATTATTCCTCATGGAAGTGGTGGGTAGCTAATGAGCCTGATTAGATTACTACAAGTAGGCATGTAGATTAATAGACACTTGTCTTCTATTGAATACAGACTCTCTATTTAAGTAGTTTGAATGTTAGTTATAAACCAAAGATTTTGGCCCTGGTTCTCATGTATATCAAGGCAGCTCTACACTGTTCTTTAAGGCCCCTTGATGCCGCCAGAGCCAGATAAAGCTGCCTTCAACTGAGAATCAAACATTACGATTCCCTCATGGCTGCTAAATTAACATGAGTTACTGAGGAAACCTTAACAGAGGAGTAAGTTACATTCAATGCTATTGACAGAGAGAGTCCGTATTAAATAGAGCACAAGTGTGTTACTGTTGCATGTTCCAGTCCTGTCTAAGGCATACTTTTACAGAATTTGACTAATATATTTAAATACTAAATTTACTTAATCTGATGCTAGGAATAGTATTTTCAACACTGAAAAGACAGAACATGCAAGTTAGAGATCCTACAGTAACATGCCTGTATTGCACATGTCATCTGTTAAGTTACACATTTCAATAGCATAATTAACAAAAATACTTTCTGCTTCTATTTGGGGATCTTAAGTTTGTAAATTTAATTTTAAATTAAGACACTCAATCCCTCTGAGAGAGCTAATACCACTTTACAGATGGGGAAACTGAGGCACAGAGGTGCTGAGGCTTTCTTGAAATTGCACAGTGAGTCATTGGCAGAACTAGGAATGGAACCCAATCGCCTTTATCCACAGTGCCTCTGAAAATGTAATCTCAAAACTCTATGAGCCAGCTCAGCTCCCACTTTAGGTACCTGAATAAGTAATCAGAGTCTGATAAATTCTCACCTCCCAGCCAAATGCTGTTTGCTTCCCTGGAAAACAATGGGAGCTTTTGGGTGCTGAGCACGTCTGAAAATCTGATGCAATGTGGAAATTAACATTTGCAGAATAACAATAACACTTGCATATTCTGATTCTTAGTTCAGTAACTTGCTGCCATATAATCTTCCTTTGTTTTTAAGCTTGGATGTTGGGTCGGGATAGGAGAGACAGAAGACTAAAATGCTGGTCTTTCTACTGATTTCACTGACTGGTTCCACAGTTTGAAAGTATGCAAAGAGATGAACTCCGCAATCAAAAAGCAGCTCGAAACCACATCTATGTAACTAGATGTGGAATCTATGTAACTAGGTGGTGGAATCTCCTTCCTTAGATATTTTTAAGGTCAGGCTTGACAAAGCCCTGGCTGGGATGATTTAGTTGGGGATTGGTCCTGCTTTGAGCAGGGGGTTGGACTAGATGACCTCCTGAGGTTCCTTCCAACCCTGATATTCTATGAACTGACCAGCAGTGATTTTAATTAATTGGTGCTTTCTAGTAAAAAGTCCAAACTTTGCAGATAGGTACTGTGTGTGTCAAGCAAAATGTGCAGTTGCATATAGTTCTTTGTTTTTGTTTTTTTTTCCCCTCCATATTAGCCCAAAGACTGTTATCCAGCAAGGCCTGGACACCATGGGAAGTTCAAACTTTAGGGCATTTTTGAGTGATCAAAGTTCAAAAAAAGGATCTTCAGTTTTCAGTGAAGAACTTTAGACATAGTTATGAGCATGCTGTTGTATTGTAATAATGAGGTTATAATAGGCATCTACATATACACTTAATTCTAGTGTTCGCTGCCACAGACAACATACTATAGTATGTGCAATGTCTAAATTTCTTTTTGTGACACACCAACCCTTTCCTCTTCCCTGTTTTAAAACAAACTACCAACCAAACATACAAAGAAAAAAAACCATTATTTAAGAACCAAGACATAAAAAAACCCGTGCTCACTTGACTGACAGTGTTTGACTCGTGTTTGCAATTTTACTCATCTCCTCGTAAAGGTGGCACGGATGTACTTGGGTCACTTCCTTTTTCTGCAGAAGGGAAATTTTGCTTGTTTCTGGTGAGGTGCATGTTTTCCAGTTGGTGTAAATGATGAAATCTTAATGCACAACTCTTTCTGAAAGGATCATATAAGGGTAGGGACAGAAGATCCTGACTTCAGATTGGGCTATAGCCATGTATATACATTCCCTAGATCTTAATAAAAAAAAGACTGCTTCAAGGTGCATGTGGTCAAATTGGGAGGGTGGGTGGAGTTGAGATCAGCAATGCAATTGCTGGGTAGATGAGCATAATTTGCATGTGTACATTTTTGTGATTCCATCACATTCCTGTGTATATGTTCCTTGTACTATACAGAGGTAACACAAGTACTTTTGCCAGTGAGTCAGCAGAAACCTAGTGCCTCCATCTTCAATTTGCTTAACAAGTCTCTGTAATGAAAAGATCTCTAACCTTCTTGCTTTTTCTCAGTCTCAGAGATGGAGGTGCTGGCAGCAAGTACACCTCTTCCTGATCCAGCCAATGAATTTGATAGGAACGTTCCCCGTATCTGTGGTGTCTGTGGAGACAAAGCTACTGGCTTTCATTTCAATGCCATGACATGTGAAGGCTGCAAAGGATTTTTTAGGTAAGTGATGTTTTTGAGAGTGAAAATTAATTAGAAACCAGCCTTCATTTTTAAAATAATGAACTCTGACTAGTTAGGAAGATTGAGGAAAGGGGCGGCAACTCTGCTTTTTGGCTCCTGGTTAGAAATAATCAACATCTCTGCAAAATTGGACGTCCTGTACATTTGAGAGAACTTGTCTGACAGGTACACTAATCTAAACCTTTGCGCTGATGCAGGAGGCTATGACTAATAAAATTGCTGAAAAGTCCAGCTATGCCTCCATCCCCATGCAGTAGGTGTTCTATGCAGTAAAATGCTACTGGCTAACACAAAACAGCCTATATACATGTGGAAGGGACCTTGTATTATATGAGCAATAGGGAGTTGTACAACTGAGAGAACTGTAAAGCAAATAAATGCCTCTCACACCCTACACCAAGACTTACCTGCCACTTTCTAAACCTACACAATAGCTGCAGTTTAAAAAAAAAAAATGTTGCCATATGGCACCCCTGAGACTTTTTTCTCTAGTGGAAATATCTATGCAATACTTTTTGTCACATAATATAACATTCACATGGATATTGAACTCTGTATAAAACTTTTTAAAAACTTGCTGCCCAGATTCTCTTTGCACAGCTCTGGCAGTGTCAAGGGGCTTTACAGTAGGCATAACCTATATTTAGACCCATTTTGAGGCCTGTTGCATTGCCAAAATGGTGTAAATGAGAATCAGGCCCCCTAAGTTTCCCTTGCATTGGTACATTTCCTTTCACTCATGTTGTTTCTCTCCTGTTAATGTTGGCTTCTTTTTTTTCTTTTTCCCCCTCACCTTTCAATGCCTATTCCTACCTCTACACATAGGCGCACACATATAATAAGCCCCTTCTATAACTGGAGAACACCCGTTAGAAGGTTCCACCAGGGAGCAAACTCTCCTCCTTGTCATTCACGTAGGGCCTAGGTCTTAAAAGGGATTTAAGTGGTGCATAAGCGTTTTACTGCCCCTTTTATTAAGGGCAAATTTCCCTTTGGGAGCTGTAGGGGCAGCTCTGAGTAAACTTGGAGGGTTCCAGACAATAGGGACTTCTATATGCCAATTATCCCCTCACCCAGCAATTATCTGCAATGAAGCAGTTGTATCTATCTTACAGAATATTTCTGTATTGACAAACTAGAGGATTTGCATGGGAACTTCTCCTGTTTGGAACAAACTGTATAATGACTAAGAGCTGGTGGAATTAAATAAGCTAATAGCTACTATGTGACTAATTAGGGCAAAACTTACTTAAGCATTTAGCATTGTAATTAGAAGATAGTCGTAGCAGGTGGTGGTAGAATTAGATGCATTGTAGAATTAAAGTAAACAAAGGTGGGATGGTCAATTTCATAACTACAATTTGAGCTGGGGTTTTAAAAACCTTAATTTCTATTGCTATAGGAGCCAGATAGTCACAGGAATTACTGGACTAGATGTTTTTGCATACCACAGCCTTGCTGCTTGTTTTCCAGTTGGGTTACAGTGCAGCTTGGCTAACTAGAACAACATTTCCTCAATTACTGTAGCTAAATGAGTAACTCTCCTTTCAGGTGCTCACTTCCATGCACATGTTTAGCGTCATCAGCTAGTCAGGCACATGCAGTCTGGATGATACATATCAAGAATTTTGTCATGGTGACAGAGAGAAGGGAATAAATGGCCAGTTTTCCTTCTCCCTTAGTTTTTTATCCATGAGTGCTTCCCTTTTTGTTCAGAGGGTATGCACACCTTCTGAGACTCTGGTATTGTGGCTTGGCCTTTTTTTGGTACAGATTAAACTATTTTGGTCAGGAGGGTGATGTGTGGGGTGTGTTGTGTGTGTGGTTTGTTTTGTTTTTTTTTTTAAACACCGATTATAATTAAAGCTGCACAACCCCCTAGTGTGGTCTCAGTTATACTGGTATTAAGATATAAATTCTGGCAGATAGGCTGTATACACACCTTTTTATACTGGTTTAACTGCATCCGCTCTAGGGGATTGATCTGTTAGCTATATCTGTTTTCTAAACTAATACAGTTAAAGCAGTACAAACACTGTGCCTACACCTGCTCGGTTATTCTTAAGCAGTCTCCATGGGCCCTTATTAAGACTTTAACATTTGTATCTTCAACTTAAGGACTTGCTTTCTTGACTTGCTTCTTCTCTTCCCTTTTTAAAGCTCCCTTTTTCCAAAACATAGTGTTAACCATGGTAGTTTTTTGTACCTTTCCTCTTACTCGTGCCTCCCAATGCCCCCAGTATGTTCTGCTTTGATCCTAGTTTACAAACGTTTCAATGATTTTTTTTTTAAACAATGTATTGAATTTTTTTAACTGGATATTTATGACTCAAGTTTCCCAGGGCCATTCCACCCAAAGTAAAAGCTCATCACTATAAAACAGCTTCCATAGGTGCTTGCTTCCTGCCCTTTTATATAGCCCTAAACCCCACCACTTTCCTGTTTTCCGTGGCAGCATGTTAACCTCCAGTGCAACAATTTGCCAAACACTGCAGACAAGATTAGCTCACTTTATTGGGGTGTGTGTGTGTGTTGACTTATCCTGAAACACTACCTTTTTCCTCTGCATTTTAGACCTGTTGAATTTAACACTTAAGGTCCTGTCCTGAGGTGGTTTACATCACCAGTACTGGCTATGCTGGGTGTGAAGGAAGTAGTTATAGTGAAATCTGGGGCGGGGGGTAAAAACAACTAGTTCAAGACTCCAGGGCAGAGCCAGTCCCACCCTGACCTGCCTTCCCTGGCCCACATGAGAAGCTTGTTCTCCCTCCACCCCTACTGGGTCCTGCACCTGCCTCTTAATGGAGAAACAGCAGTCAAGCAGCTGCTAAAGGATGCATCAGTGGCCAGGGGCAAGGTACTTCATGCAGGGAGTCCAAACCGGCTCTGTGCTATATAGCTACCTGCCAGCTGAGTGCTCATGGGAGAGGAGTGCAAGAGTTGCCACATACTGGATGAAGGAGCCCAGGGATTGTGTGTAACAGAATAGATTGTACTGCTGCCCTTCATGGTAGCACGTGAGTGCCTTCCACATAAAACAAATGGCGGAATTTCTAGTGGACTTCATGGCGTTTCTGGCTCCTTTTCCATTGTGGGGTTAGAGAGACTTTTGCATAGGAAGGTAGATTCTTAATTTTGGAAGGAGGGTAGTGGCAGTGGCAGCCACTGTGAATGTCATTCTGGCAGTAGTAGCAAAACTTCGCCAAAGAGGCTTTGCAATTTTTCCTGAGGTGGCTGGGCTCTGCCCTTGAAGTGCCCTTAGAAGACTGCACTGCACCTACAAGAGAGCATAGTGAAGGGCACGTGTTCTTCTGAACTGTTTTCCTGACTTGAAAGCTGGCTTTGTTGGCACATGTGTAAATCCTAAAACTCAAGGCAAACATGAGGTGCATCTGCACCATAGTTCTGAAGTTATGAATGTTTGAAACCAGCAGGGCCTGGGAGTACCTTTAATTCCTACATATTTATGAGGCGATGTATTTGTCCGTACAGAAGTACTGAAATGTGTACTTAGCCGATAGTACTAACAGACACTAAATAACCTTTGGCCAATTGGTGTCTCAAGTCACAGTTGGGCAGTTTACTAGTGACATTGGTAGGCATCAGGTGGCCTTTTGTTAAGCAGTGGCTGCTCAGTATTTCTTAAACTGAGCTAAATTTGTCGTACACAGAATAAATCTGGAGTGACTTTCCTGAAGTCAGTGGAGTTATTCTGGATTGACACCAGCATAACCAAGTGCAGAATTTATCTCTAATCTCTTCACCCAACCCTTTCCTCTCTTTCGCTATCCCTTACTGTTGACAATATCACCAGTCATCCAAGTTTGTCAGCTTGTGTCTCCATGGCTTGTCCTTTTTCAAGATCTGAAGTTTCGTTCCCCCCTCTCTAAAATCCATTCTTTTCCTCCATCCTTATGGCCCTATCTTGATCTGTACCTACCTTATCACTTACCCCAATTATTTTTAATCTCCTTTCCTACATCTCTCCTCTCCCCACTCCCATCTGTCCGAAAGGTAATTGCCAAGATCACTTTCCTTCCACCCTGTCTTTGACACCCATGTGCCAAATCCTGTAACTGGCTTCCTCTCCCCTTCCACATCAAATTCATGCTCCTGGTCCTCCCCTCAAGGTTCTGTCCAATGCTGTTCCTGCTTCCACCCATATTTTACACCCCATCCTATGCCCCATACAGTACCCAAGCTTCTTTACTGATGGCTTACTTCCTCTCCCTCACCCATAACAATTCCCATAACTTTGAAAGTTTTTTGCAATTTCTGGAAAATGTTGGCTAGCTCAAGTTCAACTTTGCTGGGTGCTCTTCAGTAATGCTCCCCAAGTGTTTTTCCTCCCCTTCTGAAACTTCTAAAGGTCCATTTGTTCTTAAAGGATTCCATCTACAGAGACTATCCTTCCTTCCCCCCCCCCCCCCCGCACACATCCCTTAGCCCTGGCTCACACCTGCGCATTGTAACTTCTGTGTAGTAGGGAGTCTAACTCTGGCACATTTGCAGTGTTACCAACCCTCACCATTGACACATCATGAGTCAGACCCCCCCAATCATGAGATTGGCTTAACAATCATGAGGATTTTTAATGAAAAGTGAGTTCCCTTTATTTCTCCTCCAGTTTCTGAGCCTTTAAGGTGCTCTCAAGTCACATATCTGCTGACCGTGGGAGCCCATCATCATAGAGGCCTGGCAAGGAAGGGCTGCCGCTCTCTGCCTTGGGGCTGGCTGACCATGATCTTAAGTAAAATTATTAAGCCTGACTCATGATCGCGGGACAGAAGTCTCCAATGTCAGGATTTTTTTTTTTTTCCCCATCTGTGGTTGGGGGGAAAAAAATCTTTGACATTGGAGAGTTCTGTCCCGCAATCATGAGTCAGGCTTAATACTTGTACGTAGAAAGCCCATCTCTCGTGATTAATTCGCGAGTTGGCATGTCTGCCATTGTAAAGGGTCTTGTATAACTGTGGCAC